AAGGAGAAAGACAATAGAAATCAAGGCAAAATCTGAGTATTTTTCTATTAAAAACCTGTGGCAATGAGAAAATAATAGGTAAGCAATCCTTGTTGTGTTAGTTATAGTATGATGAAATTGTTGTGTCCATCATGAAAAGGCATAACTGTGTACAAAATATGGTAAATAGTGTGAAATCGATATACCATAAAGCATGACAATAAGAAGTTCTCTTGTACTGTCCAAAGGTTAAATTTTCTTACTTGATCAATAATCTCTTTACATGCTTTAGAATCTCAAATTTCTAAACAAATGTTTGTTGCTTCTTGTAGATTTTACTGCTGCCATTGTCCTCTTTGCACATATATTCTCTAAGTTTCACTAATTGTTTCCATTTCTTAATGTTTTTCATTTTTTTTTACTAATACAACCTCACAAGAAGCAAAAAAGGTACAAATGGAACGAAATTATTATCTTACTTCTCAAAAGACTCTTTTAATGGCACTTTCTCTAACATGGGTTGAAGTTGCTATTAAAATCTTAAATTTAGAGGAGGTTAGTACTATTTTTCAAACCTCAAAGGAAGTGAGTGTTGTTGTTAAAAACCTTGGGGAAGGTTTCTATAATTATCCCTAGAAGTTATACTACCTATGGCTAATTACATTAACCCTCCCTAAAAGTTGGGAACTTTCACTTTGCCCTCTCTTAACCCAGAAGATGGACATTTTAGCCCTAGACCATGAGCCAAATATGTTCCCTAGTAAATTCACTACACATAACCATCTGAAATGACCAAATAAACCTTCAAAAACCTAGTGTTCCTGATCTTATTTGACCCTATGTTAGAAAGAACCTGATATGCATATGCCATCTTAGTAGGGGAAAAGGATGCCAAATTTCATTAGAAGTTATTTTTATAAAAGGAAGAACAAAAACACATTTTTGGAAACATTGAATTTTCATTCATGATTTTTTTTCACATTTATTTATTAGCAAAAACAAAATTAAAAATTTCCAATGGAAAATTTCTTCCAAAAATAACTAATTTTTACTTTTCAAAGTTTCATTGTAATCAAACGAAAAAGTAACATACCGAAATAACCTAAAAAGGTAGAACAACTTGAATGCAAATTTTACCATTCTAACTTGTCTATTGAGAGGATTTGGTGTAGCATCTAAAATTGAGAATTCATGAATTAGAGATCATCGGTTCAATTCCCCCTTTACTTTCTTCACTTCTCAATTACCCATATCCTTTTGGGAAAAAAAAATAAAAACATAAACTTTTCTGGCCGTTAGTTTATCTTTTGTCCATTCAAAAGCAATTTGAATCTTCAACTATGGACAAAGTGCCAATTGCTTGGAATTGATGGGGCAAAGTGAAAGTACCCTAACTTTTAAGGGGCATATTTCAATTATTCATATTATCTGCTACTACATATGAAGCAATTACTCTAGCGCTTTATTTGATTTTGATTGTCAAATATTGTTAAGAGTAGCCAAGAGATGCATTAAATAACCTACCTATCCCAGTTGTGCTTTACTGTATTTTCAGTGTCTTCATGTCATCATCTCTGTTATGAATTGCAAATGAAAATACGGTATTAGTAAAAAAACCATACTTTTTGATGTTTGGATTTGCTAATACTATAACCTGCTTTGAACCTTCACATATACCATCTATGACTTTCTAATGCCATTAAATGTTAGATAGACAAGCTAGTAAAGATAAGTAAAGAATGCAAATTTAAAACAAGAAGCAAAGCTTCAGAAGGGGGTATAAATTTCTCATTCACTTGTAGAGGTTCGCAATACTATTTTCTTTCACTGTACTGTTTAAGAATTTAGAACTTGGAATATGGCTGATGCCCTGCACAAAACATATGAAAAATAAACTGCATCATCAAACTAAGATAATAGGCAAATCATGCATTGACACTGGAGCACTGCAATGCAGTAGGTCATTGCTTCACTTCAGATCTCTGCTGCATGATACAGTGAGCCTCTAAAGTTATCAGCTACAAATTCAGTACAACCATCTCATTATTTCACCGTACTGGAATTTGAGTGGAACTGTAGAATCTAATTCTTTTTTGAAAATTTTAACATAGCTAATCAACATGTGATATGTCGGTGGTATTCCTTGATCACAAGATAATTGCTCTGTTAGATTACACATAAAGCAAGGAGAGGAAAAAAAGGCCATATGCAGATAATGACGAACCATAAGACTGGATTACCTGGGATGCCTGAATTATGTTAGCGTCATTCCAGAGTTGATAGGTTCTCTCCCTTGGCAACCCCCACCCCCCTGCGGGAAGATGCAATAAATAAAAAGGAACCACTTGGATGACCAAATAGAGGAAAAGATTAAGGCCTAGAAACATCAAATAAGCAGCAGCTTATAACTCCTGAGTTCTACTGGGAAACTTTTGTTGAGTTCTGGCTAGAAAATGAAACTGATGATTGGATTTCCAAATGGCTGTCGTGCATCCTTCCTTCTTTGTGCCCTGCTACTCACGAGTCATGAGAGCTTTAAGCTACTACTGCTAAAATTTGCTTGGTTTAAATTCATTGTGCATCTTATAAACGAAGAGCATGCACTAATTCCTGCTTCCATTACTCAATTCTATTACTGTTGTTCCTGCTAATCTCCTTACCCTGCAATATCCTCTACAGTAGCCTCTTGGTTTAGGCATCTATATTCATTCTACACTGTTCGCCCTTCACTTTTTCAACAATAAAACATTTCTAATATGGTTCATTTACAGCATGAAGTCAGTGATTGAACGATATAACAAAGTGAAAGAGGAGCATCACCAATTGGCCAATCCGAGTTCTGAAGTCAAGGTACAATCCAGGACTTAACTTTCTAGTAAGTTGAAAAGCATAAATGTTTGAAGCAAATGGTGACATATTAAACAAAGGAAAAAGGACAAATTTGAAATAATGGAAGAGAAAAAGCTCCTAGGCATGACATTAAGCGCTTTCACTATAATCCTACACACAGATAAATAACATGAAAATTGTTAAAATGATGTAATATACTGGACCGGCCAAAATGGAGAAAAGTTTGACCATAAACACATCATCTCATAATAGGTTTCACAAATGCAGAACTCCATGATGTACTACATCATAACTAAGAGTTCAATGGCTTCCTAGTTACAGATATTCAAAGAAGGCTCAGATTCTAGCTTCAGAACAGTTGGATTTTGTTTTTATCAATCGAAGGAGAAGAAATGGAATGACTGAAAAACATACAAAATCTAGACAACAAATAGTACCATAAGTTACGAGTTAGTTTGCAGTATTGATAGATATAAACCCATTAAGGCACAGCTCATTGGTTATATGCACAGAAACTGTCTGCTTTATGCTTTAGAGTCTCCAAAATGTTGTTCTCTGCACCTGCAGTGTCTAGGGTAATTATTCTACGTCACTTAACATCCCCTGGGCTTTCTAAAGAAGGGAAAAGCAAGATGATCTGTTTGGAGTAGGATGAGAAAATTAAACAATCAACTCTGCCTTCGTAAGAGTTGGATTTCAGGGCAATAAATTTCAGTTTGGAATCTGCCATAGGCCATCTACTTTTGGGTTAGTTGTTGACCATCTCAATAACTTGGATTGAGGAAGCCCCTCTGACAGGGCAGAGATATGAGGGTAAGCAAGAGCATAAGGCCCAATGTGACAAAGCATGGCCTTTGTTGTTACAATATCTAGCCGCAAGATCTGACATACTCAATGTCAGATATGCATATTTTAATTATGTCTGAAAACATCTCAGATGAATGATGATTCAAAAGAACCAATAAAGACTTGCAACTAAATGGTGCACTCAAAAAGATGAGGGGTATGCCATACTGGTACTTTGAGGATGCTTCCATTTACCCCTTTTTAAAATCATTTTTAAGTCTTGAAAGGCGGAGCAATTTCAAAGAACAAACAAGGTAGACAAGAAGTCAAAGATGGAAATGAAATATGGTTGCAAAAGGAGATAAGAAGTAAAGATGCATCATTAAACACCATGTGAAGCACTACCATGAGGACATTAGGCATTCAAGTTTTGGTAGCAGAACAGGAGAAACTCAGTTCTCACTGTTGGGTAGTACCAGAAGGGTGTAAAATGAGAAAACAATGATTTAAGGACTATTCTATATTTTGGGGATAAAAACTTCCCAAATCAGTAGTTGCTTCTTTTATCCTGGGCTGTGGTTCCTCAGTGCCTCTTCAAGCTACAAGGATTCACTCTCAAAAAAAGAGAGGAAAAAAGGAGAGAGAGAGCAGCAGAACAAGTGCTAATTGACTCATCCTGCTGTAAGGAAAGGAGAGACCATATTTAATAATACTTGGTTGACAATATTTTAGACGTGAAAGTTTTTGGTTCTTGGCTGGTAACATGGATCTAACACTGTTTCAAAAGAATGCCTAATGTAGAAAGGAACCAGAAAAAACTTTGTTGGCATGATAGTCCAACAATCACAATATCCACCATATCAGAAACAGTTAAACTAATTGCTAGACCCTTTCTGTGGAAGCCAAACCAAGAATATCACATTATAAATGTGATGTTAATTAGACTTGTTTGGGCTTCCAAAATTGGATCAAAGAAAGCACAGAAATTCCCAATGACTAATCCTACAGACCTTTAATTCCTTTCTCAATCTTAAACTCATTCTTAGATCCATTATTATGCTGATAACCTGATTCCAGCATGAATTTCGACTTCAGCAAGTGTGACTTGTAATCCAAACTCTACAAACAACTTGGGGGTAAATTCACTACTTGGTGAAAATCAAGAGCCGTCCAGCATTGGTAAATAACAAACTTTGGAATCTAGGTTACTCCCGGTAGTAATGGCATGGGTATAAGCCTTTAAAGTCCTCCACTGAGAAAAATCAATACGGAATGTAACTTATCCACTCATTCACTCTGATGCAATTCAGCTAAAGAAAAAGTAAATAAAATATACTTCTCCAAACTATATGGACAAATGCAACCAAAAGTAAAGATTGAAAATGAGGGTTCAACAGGAGAAATATTCATATTACAAAATCCTCCTCAACCAGACACTTCAAAAGGTCATGCTACCATAGAGTAACAGGTCACTTTATTGGAAAGTTCACCTTTTGATCTTCTTCTGTCATTAAACTACTCAATGAAACAAGGAGATATGTAACCGTACGTTCAACTATAGGTAAGTAGGTTGATTATTGATTATACCAGGCACAATCTATTACCAACCAAAAGGAAGCCTTCATGTATTCTAAAAACAGGGAAAAAGCCTTTGTAGCCAAAGCAGGTCAAACATTCAAAAGTAACAAGCTCTTTATCCTAAATGTCATTCTACTGTAACATCTGAACTGTAGAGCTTGCAAAATCTCCTTAAAGACCGAATAACACTATTTTGATGTTGGGAGTTCAAGCTTTTCAAGAAGAAGCATGGTCAGAATGTCTCCTGTACATTGAGGACTTTATCTTCCAACTGCAAAGTTTTGCCTTAAGTTCCATGAAATAGTAGCAGAGCTCCAGGTAACCAAGTTAGAATCAACTCTTGGTGCAGACTAACTCCTGAAAGGTGAATCAGAGTTCAAAGAATAAGCACCATCTTCAAAAGGTGTTAAATGCAGATGGATTAAATATCAGTCACAGGTTTTAGATGTTCTAGTCTCTTTGTGAAGTACAAAACAATCACTCAGGAAAATGATAAGTTAGAGAAAAACTTCTTCCAGCTGTTCTAGTTATTCTAATGTCTTCTGATCCATTCCAATCTCTTAAACTATGATTTACTATTGCAGAAATCAAAAGGCTAGTCAGAAAGTTATTGTATGATAATTTAAAATGTAGCTGCAGCGGAGTTGTAACTTCCATTAAGAGATAGTTCGTTTTGACAGATCAGGTATCAATAATGAAGAAGTAACAGGTATCGATATACTCCATGTGCACAAGGAGCTCTGGAATGGCTGATACTGAGATTCTGGTAAGATTTATCCTAGAGCCCACTAAGGAGGATGATTGTTTTTGGATTTCCACCTATAAAGTACTCAAAGATCTTGAGTAGAACCTAGAAATTCTCTTCCAAATTCATCCATGACCCTCTTATCATCAGCTTCCTTTGCAAGGTTCACAATGTTGGGTATTCCATCAAATAATTCTATCCACATAATTCAAAAAGAACAAAAATCAAACTCTTCCAGCTTCACCTGTCTTGATACTTTAAGCTACGCTTTGATTGCAAAAAGAAGAGGAACACTCCATTTTCTTTAACTAATGAAAAAATTTACATCATCTCATTCCCTTTTCTAGTTGATGATAAAGAGTATCCCAATTCAGTATGTCAATCTTGATTCAACAATGATCAAGCTAACCCAGGACTGCTAAACCTTCAACCACATTGCACAAGTTACTTGAATCCCATTCTTTTTGTACAAGAGGACTAACAAGGACTGCAGAACATCATAGCCAACAATTATTCCAATGTTAAACTTCACAGATAATACAGGAAACCATGTCGTATTCTTTGGTTATACTAGAGAAGTGTCATGTCACCAAAAGGCAAAATCCAAATGGTCATTCCTTAACAGAAATTCTACCCTAAATCTTGGTCTATAAGCCCTCATATGACCTTGAATTATAGAGGTTGTGTCAGAAAGAGTGATACCAATACCGCAACTAAGAGGAGGATATGAACTTGTGGAATGTTATCCATCAGATGCTTGAGGACACAGAATATGCCTTAAAACCCAAAGCACTATCTAAAACATGCCACCAAATCTAGCTCAAAATTTAGCAATGCTTCCATACTAATTTGTTCTCTACGTATGCAGAGAAGAAAAGGGCTAGTTGTCTGGTATGTTTGTTGCTTTCTCAGGCAAGAAAGTGCTGATGAATCATTCAAACTCCCAACCTCATTTCTTACTAACCAACCATGAAATAGGACAAAGAAAGAATAAATCCTTTCCCTTCATCAAATTATTTGGAGGGAAGGGGGTCGGAGAGGGGAAGCGGAATATCTTCAACTGGAATATGCCCGATTGGGTGCAGACAAGGACAACGCATGCTATTCATCCTACAGCATCTAGATATCATTTATAGACAAACTTCTAATTTTATATTTTTCTTGTAACCTGTAAACAACTGTCAACTTTGAACCATGGTTAGAAATTAGAAACTCCATCATTCACCACATAAAGGCATCACTCCTAAGGAAGCTCACTAGAACAAATCTAAACTTGTCAAGACACTTGAATATGTTCAGAAGTACTGCCCATGATCGACCAGTATTTCATCTGGAAGAAAGATGAAATATTTGCAATTTTGGAAAATTCCTAGCAATTTCAATAGTATTTCTCTCTCACTTAATTTGTGTCAATGCAAAGAAGACGTACAATTTCAGCCAAAGACCTTGATTGACAAATGTCAATAGGAATAAATGTGGCATAACTTAATAAACATGAATTGACAGAAGCGCCATGAGGCACCTCACAGTGGTGCTGTAAAGCGTCAGACAACATTTTGGGAAGGGAAGCCTAAACTGAAGATCTTAAAGACTTTTCTAAAGCCACAAATAAATGGACCATCTGTTCAGTTTTCAACTGTTTGGTCCTTATAAACATCAGAATTAATTATCTCATCGTTGATATGGAACACAAGCTAATTTTAATTACTTGAAATATTTGGATTACTCAATTATATTATCTCAATACCAAAAAATCTATGTTTCTTCTATATGACCATCACCCTACTAGACCAAACCGAAAATTGCATTCTCACGAGCAAGTTCTATTTACCTTATTCTTCTTTACCATTCTGCTGAAATGAAAAGAGTATAATTTTTAGGCATAAAGTAGTAGAGTTTTCAGGAACACTTACAAGCCAAAATGAAGAGCATCTATATTAGAAAGGATGCACACAGGGATCTGCAATGGCATTTTGAAACACCTACATTGAAGAATCCTTAACTATCAGCAAATTCTGGAGCAAGTTTACCAATAGATGCCATGATAAGGCAAGACGGGCCGAACAATCAAACCTTGACAGCTGAATACCTGTTAAAACCCTAGCAAAATCATTGAATCTCAGAAAATATCAATCATACCAAAGTTTGGTAAATACATCACCTATATCTCAACATCTTGAAGTTCATTAAATCGCACTTTGATATTTGTAGTAGTCAATACCCATGATATCACAAAGTGGAATAGGAAGAAATTGTAGGGAAGAAGAATAAAGCTAGAGCACAAAACAAATTTTCCACACAATTTCCAAAGTCGTCATTATGCAAGATCTTGTGATGCAACAAAATATTGTTAAAACCCCTCCAAATTCAAATGATTACAAACAATAGGCTAGCAATTGTTCTCAGCAACCTACACGAAGATACATAAACTCCAAAAACCCTCGATATACATTTTAGACTAGCAAAATTAAATAAAATTATATTTGGTTGCACTCTTACCCTTTTAATCCAAGAATAAAGAGATAAAAGGCCCCACATTTCAGCTGAAATTACTCTTTAAAGCTCTCTCTCTATATAGGAGAAAGCGCTCTCCCTATATAGGAGAAAGTAAAAAAAAATGTGAATTTGTAGACTGCTACTGCTATTATATCTACTCATTTTCATTAACCTAAAATTTCCATTTTGTGAGTCGTGGAGACCTTTTCTGCAAATGAAGAAGTAAAAGGAAAGTTAGATGGAGACCCTTTCTTTTGCACATCTGCCAAAAAGCCCAGAGTCTGATAAACTGCATTTCACCTCATCCCAAAGGAACATGGTTAAAGATAATGGAAGCCATTCTTTCAAGCATAACATATGTAATATCCGAACCAGACATAGGATTCTACCTTCAAGACCCTAAAACAACATCCTACGCTTTCTTTTAGACATCTGACCATGCAAAAGCAATCATATCCATGCTATAAATGACTGACTGCAAGATGTGTCTAGTGAAGTTAACATGGTCCAGTAAATGATAAAGATAAAAAAACCAATTCCAACACAATTACTACATTCTCTTCATCTTAACGAACTAGATGCCAGCTTAAGAAGAATTATGTGTATGCTGCATCTTGATAGTTCTTCCACAACAGTATATTTACCATTTATTAGTTTTCAACAGCATATAAGCCATAAATTGCTGTGAGAAAAAAGGAATTCTAGTTTGGATTGTTTGAAAGCTCTCTCTGAACGCATGTCATTTTCTGGGTTATTGTACTGGTACTTGTGTGCTAAATTCAAATTTAAATTGATCACAAAAACAAATAACAAAATTACAGCAAAAGGTTACTAGCTCGTATTTGTGTATTGTGTAACTGATAGCTTGAAATACCTATGATGTAAAAGAAAGAAATACAACACTAATCCTGCTGTGGCATTTTACAGTTTTGGCAGAGGGAAGCGGCAATGCTCAGGCAACAACTGCAGAACTTGCAAGAGAATCATCGGTATATCTTTTGTCCTTAGACATGAATTTAAACTTGAAAATTACTACAAATTTGTGGGACATCATCCTTTGCTTAATATATTGAAATTGCAAAAATAAAATCTATCTTTTTGCTCAAGTAAAATCCCCACAAATGATTCATGTCTTTTTCTTTCTGAAATTTTCACTTTTATCCTTGCCAACTGCCATTTGCATCCCTTTGCTGAAATATTCATTTAAAAGTAAAAACAGAAAAAGGTTACTGACTCCTAAATTGTAATTCACCAGGAAGAATCTAGGTGTCAACAAGAGCAAAACAAGTATTGAATTTCTTTGACATCATTTTGCATACACGCTACTTGCTGTCTGAATATCTGTGTGTGTGTGTGTGTGTTCTAACTCATCCCTGGCAAGTGTTGAGAGTCAACGTTCAAGTCCACAATATACTCAACATGAAGACATTCTAGAAGTTTAAAATACTATGATTTGATCTAGTTATCTAGCTCACGAAATGTCAAAGATGAGAATCATCAATAAGCATACAACCAGAGTGGATAAGCTGTTACCATTCAGGTCTCTGGGTCTTTAGCAGAAAATAGCTTTTCTTCAAAAGGAATTTCTATTCTTCCTACAGCACCTCATTGTGATGCAGACAAAACGTGAAGAAAATAGCCAATTAATTGGGCTAACGAATATCTTTTACATACCATTTAACATTCTTGTAGAATATCTGTTGAGTAAATGTTGTAGCAGTATAGCAGAACTGTCAACCACTGAACCACTTATTCTTCCTCTAAAGTACATGGTGTTCATAGTAAACAATATATGTGTTACTTTCACGTAATACTCAAGGTGCATCCAAATTTCAGCCAAGTGGACATACACATCATGTCATTCCATAAGAATTCAGGTGTGTGCTCATGAATTTACCAATAATTGCAAGTCGAAACCACTAAACCACAAGCCAGGAGCATAACCAGGAGGTCAAATGAAGAACCACGAGACCACAAAAAACAAAAGAATACAACTTCAGACAGAAATTCCTAACACCAGTATTTACATGCTCATTGATTGGTTCCAGTACCTTAACATTATTTAAGAGTGAGATTTATCTTACAAAAGCATTTGCTAGTTGCAGGCAAATGAGGGGCGAAGAGCTTTCTGGTTTGAGTGTCAAAGATCTACAGAACTTGGAGAACCAACTTGAAATGAGCCTTCGAGGTGTCCGTATGAGAAAGGTTTGCACCTCCTATTTCCTATGACTCATCCAAGTACATCCTTTAGTTGAAGTAACATTGAACTATGTAGCTGACAATGATAGCTATGATTTCCTCTTTGTTAATGTAGGACCAAATGCTTATTGACGAGATACAAGAACTAAACCGGAAGGTAAAATCAGAACTGTGAAAACTAAATTCCTATTCCTGTCTAAAAAATATTGTCAAAGCTAAACCTCATTCACTTTTTTGCAGGGTAGCCTCATCCATCAAGAAAATGTTGAACTGTATAAGAAGGTAAACCTAATTCGTGAAGAAAATCAAGAATTGTACAAGAAGGTATCCCTTAAAGAAACTTTAACCGAATTTCTAAGAGCATTATCACAGAATTTGTTTCAAAATGACCCTTAATAAAAATGCTTTTCATGCCAGGTTTATGGAACCAAGGAGGCGAATGGAACTAACAAAACTGCACTTCTGACAAACAATTTAAGCATTCGAGAAGACCCTGATGGTCCTGTACATCTCCAGCTTAGCCAGCCACAACAAAACTATGAGACGACAACAGGGGCATCAAAACTGGGGTAACTGTTTATTGGACTTAAATTCTCTTTTAAAATTACCAATTATGTTGTCAATCCAACATTAAACTCAATTTTAAAAAATATTGCAGCAGATTGCAACTCCATTAGTATGAAGAAAATGCTGAGCTGATTGCTTGTTGATGAAGATCCACCATGCATACAACACAATGTTCAATTCGTAAGGAGTGGTGCAAAAACCACATAATACTCAGAAAAAGTCTTCAATTTCATTGAAAGGATCTTGACATATCCGAGGTAATTAATGCTATAGCTGTCTATGTAAGATGGTGAGAAATAAAGAAATACTGCTAATTGCTTGTCTCAGACTTTCTTCAGATATCTTTCTATAGGGCATCTCTACTCAATTGAAAAATGTACACAAGCATCTCTACACAATAACTGGGATCATAAAAAATGTACTTGTATAGGTATCCACTTGAGTAAGATGCACCCTGGCGACAAGAAATGCCATGAAAAGTAGAAAGTACAGGATGAAGCAAGTCAAAGAATTTGATGGACCAAACAGTCAATGAAAAAGTGACAATAGTACACGCAAAAAGGTAATATTAGAGAGTAAGTTAAATGTTAAGATTTTCGAATAAATTCTGCAGTATAGCATGGCTAACGTTTCAGCACACAAGAAACTACTATTACACATCTTCAGATCCCTGCAAAACAATCTACTGCAAACCTGTACCAACTCATTTGCAGGCTGGTCAAATCTCATGAACAAAAAGATTGGCATACATGCAACAAACCTAAAGAATAATTTCGTTAAAGGGCAAGGCATACACAAAGGTCCACAACCCATTATTGTCTCGATATACTGCAATATGCAACCAAACATACTCAGACCACACCTATGGAAAAAGAGGATAGGAATACTGCTTGACCATATTTCTAATTCCAACAGGTGCTATTCATTAATTGGGAATGGATAAGGTGCAATATTGAATACAGCTCTTGTGCTAAAAGTGATTTTAAAAACCTAAAGGTCAAAGTTGACACCATTTCAAGAAAACGCATTTAAAGAACAAAAATCACTGCAATAAGGAATCCATCCTCAATCGATCTTGGAGAATGTACTTATTTTCTGTTGTATCAGCAGGTAACTCATTGCGAAACAAATCACGGCCAACCACAGTCTCAAGAACCCATCATGCATTAATATAAGTCATTGAAACCACAACATAAGAAACCTTCATTTATTCAACGCACATTACAGTTCCTAGAACTACAAAACATCTCTCTTATGCATAAAGAATAGCAGACTGATAGCAGTAGGAAATTCATAATGGCTATTTAACACTAGGAAAAGAAAGGAAAATTGCTAGATCTATTTACCAATTTCTATATGTAGATTTTCATCACATGAATCACGTTAAAATCCTGGAAGAGAAGTTGATTGAAGCATCTAAGGAAGAATTAAGGTTTTCATGGGATTAATTTTTTATACACTGATAGTGTATACACTATCAGGCCTGGATGCATGACAACCAACTTTAATTTGAATTTAAAATCCAAGTTTTGCACACGTGGCATGCATCCAAGTCCAATAGTGTATAAACTATCAGCATATAGAAGATTAATCCATTTTCAAGGCAAAGTACTAGAAATGGACTACTAGCTAAAAGGAGGCTCCATTTCTGAAATTGTTTTTGGTTGGCTTCAAAACAATCATGATGGAAAGCCTCTTTTAGAAACTTTAATTACTACTACAGCCATATTCAGCAATTGATCAACAGCAACATAAACAACAGTGAAAGATTAGCAGGTTATCTTCATGAACTGAAAGAACTTCAATGAGCTTACACTTACCAGTATGCATAGTTTTTA